ACAAACCCCGAGCTGAGCAGGCTGCAGGCACAGGAGGGAGGTTTTTAACAAACGTCCAGTGAAGCTCAGGGGAGCAGCCAGCAAAGGGCACCGAGAGCGGGAGGCTCTGCCTGCCCAGCCTCTGCGGCTCCTGTAAAACCCCGCAGGGTCACCACACCCACCTCTCCTGGCAACGAGCAGCTGGATTTTCACCGTTTCGTACAAGTGGCAGTAGTGATGGTGAAGGTTACAGGAATATGTGCCTTCATCGCTCTCTGCAACTCCTGTCGAGCAGGGAAGAGAGAGGGATTGAGTGTTTCACACTGACATTAATGATTTGTGCCCTTTGCACTTGCCCAAATCCTTATCTGGGTGTTAACTTTGTTCCAAGCCTTCCTTTTCACCAGGGTGGGTTTAGCAGAGACAAATCATCTCACCCAACAGAACGATTTGGTCACCTAGGAAATCATTTTTGCTCTCGTGGGGAAGGTGTTTCTATTGCCAGGTGGAAAGAAGGAGCTGGTTTAGGTTGAGCTGAGAGCAGGAACAACGACCATGGGGTGCTCATAGCTCAGGAAATGAATCACAACCAAAGGGCCACAAAAAGCCCAGGTGGCTTCTGGGTTTTTCCAAATTCTCTTTCCAAACAGCTCTGTTGCAAAGGCAAATAAAAATCTCAGTGCTTCAGAGAACCTCCCAGAACCCCTGAGGTTGGAAAAGAACTCCAAGACTGAGTCCAACCTCAATGCCCACCTTGTCACCCAGCCCAGAGCACTGAGTGCAATGTCCAGCCCTTCCTCGGACACCTCCAGGGGTGGGGACTCCCTGAGCAGCAATTCCCACGTTTAACAACCCTTTCCAGGGAAAAAAAATCCTCCTGCAGCCAGCCTGAACCTCCTCTGGGCCAGCTGGAGGCTTCACTTTGAAGCAAAAACCAGAGAGCAGCCCAGGAACAGAGCGTGGTTTGGGGGGAAATTCCTCGACTTCTTCCTGCCTTGAATCTCCAGCTGAAAGCTCCACTTCCCTAAGTGCCCAAGGAGCAGAAATTAATTAATGTGCACGTCCAGGAATGCAGGAATTTAGTCAGCTGGAATTGCTGAGAGGGTTTTGATCTGCTGTGCTGGTTTTTTGGGATAGACTTGGGAGGTGCACAAATACCCAGAGCACTGAGAGCCACCAGTGCACTGAGATTGCTCCCAGAGCCTGGAATCCTCAATTCCAAGTGTCAGGAA